AACGGCCTGCTCCCAGTTGGCTTGTTAGCTCAATTGGTAGAGCGCTGCACTAGTTTCGCAGAGGTCAGTGGTTCGAATCCCGTACAAGCCTGATTTTTTCTGGTCTGATTTTCGCTATTGCTTAAATAGCGCTATCTACTGCGAGGATCGTGCATCATACGTATCTAATACCGCAGTTCAAAATATATGAACTTCATATATTTCATTGTATCTGAATATCTCTACAGTTGGTGCCCCATACAAGCGATGGGACTTTATCAAATATCACGCGGGCGTATAAGTTTCTCCGTGCTGGTTTGCTACTGATAGAGAAAGGATGGCTGGAAAAAAGAAGGGCTTGTAACTGGTCGGGAAAAACCCCTTTCGGTCTCGCAATTATTAAAGATAAAGAAAACAAAAGATCTGTCGTCACAAGAATGACTTCAAATAAGCGTCATATAAGGAACCGCTCGACCAATCAGATTGCTGGAAACTCTTCGACACCGATATTTATATATAAGAGAGGGTGCTAGGGTGTTTAAATGTTAACGGTCTTATACCTGAGAAACTTCGTAAGCGTAAGGGACACCAACCTACAACTGTTCAAAAATTATTTGGAATCATAATATCCAGATTATTGATAATATTTTCGAGAATTTTATATTAAACCACGGACTAAAAAAGGCCTTAAATTTCAAATGATGAAGTTCCTGGGAATTCGTAATTTAAAAAATGTGAAACAGGCTGAGTGGGCAATGGGCTCCTGAATAGGCTGTTCAATAGTTTGAAAAAACCTGTGGAGAGCAGTTTTAGCTTTAATAAAAGAAGTGATAACTGACAAATTATGTTTCTTGCAATTAAGTGAAATGTGTCATAGCTTATATGAAATGGAAAAAGTAAGTAAGATTTAGAAATAATCTGAATGTTATCATTCCAGATAATTTTTGAACAATTGGTGCCCCATGTAAGCGATGAGACTTTCCCAGATTTCCAGTTTTCGCTGTCGCACTATCATCAAAACTATTTACTAAAAAAGTTCGAGAATCAAGGAGACAAAAGGTGATTATTCAAACAGTCTCGCAAGGATTCAGGTCTGTGTGATGCTTTGCGGGGGAGATATTCGTGGTTGTCTTAAGGCGCTCATAAACATTTATATGAGTAATCATTCTCCTACAAGGTCAGGAATGTTCAGACTGCGAAATCCCAATTGACAAGATACTTTTTTAACCTCCGTGACAGCTTTCTCGGCTGCCATTTTAACATAGTGTCAAGCAAAAGCTTAAACATTTAACCTTGCTTTATAGCGAGACGAAAAACCCTATCAAACTGAAAATGATAAAAAGATAGTCTCTGTCTGTTCTAACGATTAATCTAACTAAAATCTAGAGAGGATTAATAATTCCTTATTTTTTTAGTATTCTGACGTCACGTGAAAACCAAAAATATCATGCTGGCTTTTAATTAAGTTTTGCTTGCAAGCATGCAACTGAGAGAAAAGGAAGAAAAAAAAAGGCTACTCGGGAAAAACCCCTTTCGGTTTCGCAATCGTTAAATATAGAGTAAACAAAAGATCTGTGGTCACAAGAATGACTTTTTGACCTCTCTATTCTCTGATAACGGAGGCGATTATCATGCTATTGGGTATATGACGCAGAAAGGCACGTGATCTGCTAACCCAGGCGAATCCACAAATTTCTTGTTTCGTATAGGACTATATTCACTCTTGTTTTTTCTGAACCCTTACTCAACCCTTTGGTCCGTTCGGAGAAGAAATCTATGGAATCACAGTAGGATAGGTAGGTAAACTTGTGTGATTTACTTGAGGTGCATGGTTGTTAGGTTTGCAATTAAAACACCCAAACACACAATTAAGGTATGGTACGTGTGGTGTGGCAACAACTTCGCTCGCCAAAACTGACAACGAAACGCCTAAAAGTCGAACGTATGAGATCTTTCAATGATCTGTTTGCATTATACCATATTTTTCATTATCTGTTGCAATTTAATCTGTTACGGTGGAGGATCAAAGATATTTCAGCAAGTCAAAAGCAACACAGTTTAGCTACCGGAAGAGATGGTTAACTATTCTGGTAGCTATTCGGGAGGCGCTTAGCTTTGTGAAGTTGTTAAACAGACAAGCAGAGCTAAGGCAACAGAAAGAATTTTGGTGGAAGGAAAATAGTGCACCGCAGGTAAAAAAAATAGCTGGATGGTGTACGTTTGAATCAGTGCACACCGTGACTCGATGTTATTGTCTTCCTATTGCCTAGATTTTGCCGCTTTAATCGTGGTGCGACCAAATAAACCACGAATTAATTTGATGGCCTGCTCCCAGTTGGCTTGTTAGCTCAATTGGTAGAGCGCTGCACTAGTATCGCAGAGGTCAGTGGTTCGAATCCCGTACAGGCCTGAAATTTTTTTCAGGTCTGATTTTCACTATTGCTCAAATAGTGCTTTACTGCGAAGGATCGTTCTCATATACGTCTCATAACCGCAGTTCACACATATGTTTCATATGTTTGTTGTTGTTTGATTTATCATCTACGGGTTTATATCGAATTAATTTGATGGCCTGCTCCCAGTTGGCTTGTTAGCTCAATTGGTAGAGCGCTGCACTAGTATCGCAGAGGTCAGTGGTTCGAATCCCGTACAGGCCTGAAATTTTTTTCAGGTCTGATTTTCACTATTGCTCAAATAGTGCTTTACTGCGAAGGATCGTTCTCATATACGTCTCATAACCGCAGTTCACACATATGTTTCATATGTTTGTTGTTGTTTGATTTATCATCTACGGGTTTATATCGAATTAATTTGATGGCCTGCTCCCAGTTGGCTTGTTAGCTCAATTGGTAGAGCGCTGCACTAGTATCGCAGAGGTCAGTGGTTCGAATCCCGTACAGGCCTGAAATTTTTTTCAGGTCTGATTTTCACTATTGCTCAAATAGTGCTTTACTGCGAAGGATCGTTCTCATATACGTCTCATAACCGCAGTTCACACATATGTTTCATATGTTTGTTGTTGTTTGATTTATCATCTACGGGTTTATATCGAATTAATTTGATGGCCTGCTCCCAGTTGGCTTGTTAGCTCAATTGGTAGAGCGCTGCACTAGTATCGCAGAGGTCAGTGGTTCGAATCCCGTACAGGCCTGAAATTTTTTTCAGGTCTGATTTTCACTATTGCTCAAATAGTGCTTTACTGCGAAGGATCGTTCTCATATACGTCTCATAACCGCAGTTCACACATATGTTTCATATGTTTGTTGTTGTTTGATTTATCATCTACGGGTTTATATCGAATTAATTTGATGGCCTGCTCCCAGTTGGCTTGTTAGCTCAATTGGTAGAGCGCTGCACTAGTATCGCAGAGGTCAGTGGTTCGAATCCCGTACAGGCCTGAAATTTTTTTCAGGTCTGATTTTCACTATTGCTCAAATAGTGCTTTACTGCGAAGGATCGTTCTCATATACGTCTCATAACCGCAGTTCACACATATGTTTCATATGTTTGTTGTTGTTTGATTTATCATCTACGGGTTTATATCGAATTAATTTGATGGCCTGCTCCCAGTTGGCTTGTTAGCTCAATTGGTAGAGCGCTGCACTAGTATCGCAGAGGTCAGTGGTTCGAATCCCGTACAGGCCTGAAATTTTTTTCAGGTCTGATTTTCACTATTGCTCAAATAGTGCTTTACTGCGAAGGATCGTTCTCATATACGTCTCATAACCGCAGTTCACACATATGTTTCATATGTTTGTTGTTGTTTGATTTATCATCTACGGGTTTATATCGAATTAATTTGATGGCCTGCTCCCAGTTGGCTTGTTAGCTCAATTGGTAGAGCGCTGCACTAGTATCGCAGAGGTCAGTGGTTCGAATCCCGTACAGGCCTGAAATTTTTTTCAGGTCTGATTTTCACTATTGCTCAAATAGTGCTTTACTGCGAAGGATCGTTCTCATATACGTCTCATAACCGCAGTTCACACATATGTTTCATATGTTTGTTGTTGTTTGATTTATCATCTACGGGTTTATATCGAATTAATTTGATGGCCTGCTCCCAGTTGGCTTGTTAGCTCAATTGGTAGAGCGCTGCACTAGTATCGCAGAGGTCAGTGGTTCGAATCCCGTACAGGCCTGAAATTTTTTTCAGGTCTGATTTTCACTATTGCTCAAATAGTGCTTTACTGCGAAGGATCGTTCTCATATACGTCTCATAACCGCAGTTCACACATATGTTTCATATGTTTGTTGTTGTTTGATTTATCATCTACGGGTTTATATCGAATTAATTTGATGGCCTGCTCCCAGTTGGCTTGTTAGCTCAATTGGTAGAGCGCTGCACTAGTATCGCAGAGGTCAGTGGTTCGAATCCCGTACAGGCCTGAAATTTTTTTCAGGTCTGATTTTCACTATTGCTCAAATAGTGCTTTACTGCGAAGGATCGTTCTCATATACGTCTCATAACCGCAGTTCACACATATGTTTCATATGTTTGTTGTTGTTTGATTTATCATCTACGGGTTTATATCGAATTAATTTGATGGCCTGCTCCCAGTTGGCTTGTTAGCTCAATTGGTAGAGCGCTGCACTAGTATCGCAGAGGTCAGTGGTTCGAATCCCGTACAGGCCTGAAATTTTTTTCAGGTCTGATTTTCACTATTGCTCAAATAGTGCTTTACTGCGAAGGATCGTTCTCATATACGTCCACAGAACGTTCTTGGTTCATTGTTAGCTGAAAAAAACACCTTTTTTGAACAATCCAACGTGCGTCTAACGTTCTCGTAAGTCGTGACCTGTTTGGACACGCACTAAATGCTAATAATTATAAGATAAATAGACAGTCGAATTCATAAACATTCACTCGATTTAACGAAATTTCGCCAAATCTGCCATTTTTGCTACTGCGTTCAGTTCTGTACCTAAGTGGTTTAGCGTGGCCTGTTTTCTTATTGACAACGATATTCGTCATCTCAGTATTCAAATTTTTGCGGACTCCATAGGCTGATAAAACAAAATATGTCCTACTTCTTCCGGCACCCAGCGTTTTACTTATCCCATCTCAAGTCGTACTCAGTATTTTTGTTTTTGTGGTGGAGGACTTCGAATAATCACCACAAGGGAAATAGCTGGACAGGTGTGACTGAAGTGAACTGATCAAAATTCAGAAAATGGAGTTCAGTTCTGAATGTTTCCAATCAGCCACGAGTGAACCTTAGAATGCGATGTGGAAATGATTTCGCTCGCTTGAGGCAAAACAAAACCCCTAAACATCGAACGAAATAAATCATATGAAATAAAATCATGTTTCTTGTAATCTGAGACGTTTAAGGAAATCGAAAGTATTCCGGTTCAGTTACTGCCGTGATTGATAGTTTTCATAGGCGTGCAATCCGTTTTATCGGGAAAACTGAAAATTTCCGGCGGAAGTCAGAGGATGAAAAGATTCACCAAGAAATAAATTATAATTTTACCTGTACGCGACACAAACGATTAGAGGACTGCATGAGGCCAGAAAAATGACCAAAATCGGCTTAAAACATCTCTAATATTTTGCAAACTAAATTCACGATGCATATCGCCCATATCGCCCAGCCCCCCCCCCCTGCATGTTTCTGCGCTAGTACCTTAACCGGTACTCATACACTTTGTTAGTTAATGCTGAATGAAATATCGAACACTCGAATGAAGATAACTATCATATCGTGTGACCCGCTTTGTTTTTACAGAATTTTGAAATTGACTTCATGTAACACGTAATCGAGGGAACTTAATCACTTCAATTTGAGTTGTTGCACATGGCTACATAATCAATGCCATACGACCTATGTCTGTACTAGCCTCGCACCCAGGCTCTCTCGTAACTCTCGCGCGGGGAAACCTTCATCTCTCGCACTTGGCATTCATTCCCCAGAATCAAGATCGCCTCAACCATTTTGTAACTGATTCGGCTTTCGGCAAAGTAACGCTGTATAGATGCTTGTGGTTGAATGAGAATGAAAAAATAATTTTTTTTCCGAAAGTCTGCTGTATCTCGTAACTCGCATTTCAAAAACGTTATGAGCTTTCAGGCCATGACTGAATAATGTTTCTAAACTTTTCTTTCAATTCGAAAAGAAAGTTTCACGTGACAGGAATTTAACGCTCAGTTGATACGTTTGTTTAATTTGTCTATAACGAGATTTAACACGAATTTGTTATTCGTGTTAAACCCGGCTTGTGCAATAGCGCCAGTATGACACACCTGAGAGTCCATACAGTCTCTATTCCTGAGGGATTACAACGTGTCCATAGCAAAGGGTAGACCTGCTACGAAAAAATACCTGGAATATCATAACACCTTTTCTGATTCGAAGAGAATTTCGGCAGCACTGCTATTTCACCCCAAATTGTCAAAGTCTCGGTTTAACATTTAACTGTTATCTTTTTTCTAATTTTCACAGACCTACTTTAAGTGAAAATGTAAGAAATTTTTCACCGGAGTCCGGCAAGAATCGTTGCTTTCAATAATGGCGTTACAGCCATTCACTAACGAACAATTGAATTGCTTCAAGTTTGCTCTCATCGCGTTCAATGAGATCCCCAAGGCATTACGTCAAACTTTCAAACAGATGTGGGACACCAAATTTGCGTCTCTCCCTAATTTCCAGGCGTGGGATGACTCTAATAAAGTACGTACGCTGTTTTTAAGAACTGAGGGTGGAGCAACCAAAGTCCCCACAAATCGCTCCTTTGATGAATGGGATTGTACAGCCCTTTTCCAGGCCACCATCCATGCACGGTCCTTTGCTTTACCAGGCAGCAAAGGCCATCATAGGACGCTCTATGATTTGTACGTGAAGCCTTGTAAATTACCACATGGTACTTTCCATTCTTCTGTTGTTAGTTCTACTGGAGATAACGCAGAAACCTTTGCACTAGCGATCGATCAGATTCGTTTGTTGAGAAATTCGTTCTGTCACGCATTTAAATCCGAATTGGACAAAACAACGTTTGATCGATATGTTAAACTCGCGAAAGACGCGATCAAGGCCCTTGGAGTCAATACTGGCCCCATTGATGCTGTTGGAAGTTTGACTGAGTCTGACTTTCCCACTCAGGAAGTTCAGAAGATAAGGGATGACATCAGAAAAGAGGTTCAAAAAGAAAACGAATTTCTCAGAGAAGAAGTTAAAGATGACTTGCAGCTCCTAAAAAAATCCCAAAGGAAAGATACTGAGGAGCTGAAGAAGACGCTAAAGAGGACCAAAACGGAAAGTCAAGATATCACCAACGCGAAAATAGCCAAACTTCAGACAGAAGTTACTTCTTCCACCAAAGATGTGAAAGATGACCTAAAGCTTCTTCGGAAATCACAGGTAGAGGGTACTGTACACTTGAAGAAGGCAATCGAAACAGAAAATGCTGCCAGCCGAGAGATGATGACTGAGAAGTTTGCCGAGTTTCAGAATAAAGGCATAGCACTCAGGGAAGGTGTGAAAGATGAGCTAAAGCTTCTACAGGAATCGCAAAGGGAAGGTATTGAAGAACTGAAGAAAGCAATTGAAACGGTCGATGCAGGAAGCCAAGAGATGGTAAATAGAAAGTTTGCCGACTTTGACAAGGAAAGAATTGCACTCGTGAAAAATGTCGAAGATGAGCTAAAGCTCTTGCAAGAATCTTACTTAGAAAGCACTTCGGACCTGAAGAAGACCTTTGGGATGGCAAACGCTGCCGGCCAAGAAATGATAAATGCAAAGTTTTCCGAGATTCAAACTGAAAGCAGCGCACTCAGAAAAGCTTTTAAACGTGAGATAAAGTTATTACAAGAATCACGCGGTGACGATACTTTGGACCTGAAAACAATCGCTTCTAGCCAAACGCTGGTGACGCAAATAATTTCCGAGCTCAACCAAACGATCAAAGACCTACTGAAGGAGGAGAGTTCAGGTAAGCAGTTCTAAAAGATTGGTTATTATTGAAACCAACGTGACCAATACTTGAACTGCGCGATTTCATAGATCGACTGCTTGACATTATGCTGCTAATTGTTTGGCTTCTCACGTTACGTGCCGATATTTTTACATGTTATCTTACCAAGCTTTCCCTTGATCCATTTATCAGGACAAGAGTCTTGTCCAGCCACAGTAATAGTTATCGGGAGACGACTGTACATATTTTCCTTAACAGAAGTGGTGAAGTTGTCATACCTACTTTTTTGATACTGAAAGCCGATCAATTGATACACCACTGCGGAAAGCGCGACAAATATTTTAGCTTTCAACTCCTTCTGTCGGCACGAAAACTAGGCTAAGCTGTACTAACGTAGATTTTCTCCTTCATTTTTCTATTTCATTTTATTTTGGAACAATGTACGCATCTTATAGCTTCAGATCGGTTTGGAACTTTTGCAACCACACCGTTTTTGCAAGAGGTGCTACCTTTTGTATAGCCGTTAACTTAGCCCCTTCACCCGTAAACTGTTTGAGAAAGTGAGGAAAATGATAGGTTCTTTCTGATAACACACAAAAAGCCTCCACTGTGCCCTGCTCTGTTCTGGGGTAAAAAGAAAGCTGTAGTAGCACGGAAAAAGTAGATAGAGAAATTCGATTATGTCTAGTATTTTCCCTGGCTGCACTTCACTGTGATCTAACCACTCCCAACATGCTTTAGAATAGGGCATTGAACTGTGGAGGCTTTTCATTTTTTTTCTTTCGGCATTTGTTAATTTCTGATTTAACTTTATTCGCTAAAAAAGGTAGAGCATTTATTCAGAGATGCTTTTATTTGCTTTTTCGTTAGGTTCTAAACTCTCTTTACCTCGATCAAATCTCCCTCCGATGGTTCCGCATTTCACTGGTCGCGAGGAGGAGTGTGACCAGATTATTGGTCACATGACTTCTGATTCGACACGAATCGTATCCGTTTGGGGCTCGCCAGGGTTTGGAAAGACGTCCACGGCAATTGCTGTGGGGCATCGTCTTCGTGAACGGGGTTTGCCTGTCTACTTTATTTCATTACGTGGGCTGAAGTCAAAAGGAGATTTAATGTCAAAACTACTTAGCTTCTTTCGGACTGATAAATCAGCGAATCAAGGTTTAACTGTTGAAGATGAAATTGGTTTCATTTTTGAACGACTGTCGGATCACTGTGTGTTGATCCTTGATAATGCTGATGATTTGTTTGAATGTGGTGCGCCAACCGTGAAAGAGGAGACTGTGAATCTGCTGAAAGAGATTCTCAACCGCAGTGAAAGGGTAGATTTTCTTTTAACTACGAGGGAGTCAATGGCTTTTATGAATGTGTCTTTGCAGGGACACCAGTCTGTTAGGATAAGAGAACTCGAAACATCATCGTCCAAGACTTTGGTGAGAGAGCTACTTCCGGAGGTGAACACAACTAACGTAATGAAAATCGTGCAGATCTGTGGGCAGGTGCCTTTAGCCATAAAGCTTTTGTGCTCGTCACTTTCTGAAGATTTTGCCCATTGTAGTTCGGATCTTGATGAGTTATTGCAGTCGAAACGTAGTCTAATTGAGCTGCTGGACAACCCAGATTATACCAGTGACTTGAGGCTAAAAACCCTATTTGAATCATCCTTCCAGAGACTCTCTTCGCAGAATCAAGAGGCACTGATATCCTTGTGTATTCTACCCGAAAATTTTGATCTCACGATTGCAAAAGCTGTTTTAGGACTATCAAGTTCCTCCGAAGCCAAAAAAGTTTTGCGCGAGCTACAAAGGAGGTCCCTCATTGACAGCTGTCCAAATTTGGACGAGTTCTCCATTCACAAGCTTTTACAGTCGTACGCAAAGCACAAAGGCGAGCTTGACATGAAAGAAACAATTCTACTCGCAAAAACTCGCTTTTTATCTTTCTTCATATCTTTGTTTGACAAATTAAATGAAATGTTTCTTACTGGAAAATCAATGACAGCATTTATCGAGTTCTTTGAGAATGAAAAGAGCATTTTTCAAAGTCTAATTAATGGATGTTCAGACTGCAAGACAGCGGAAAAAGTCTTTAACATTTTGCTAAAATCAGAGATGTTTCTTGACACCGTCTACTGGGACGAGGAAGCTAAATTTGAAGAGATTTACCTTTCAGCAATAACTGCAGCCAATAAGGTTGAAAGAAGAGATCTCCATGGGAAACTACTTCAGTCCAAAGCCTTTGGAAAAATTATGAGGGGAGATGAAAGAAGGGCGATACAGCTGCTTGCGGAGGCCAAACGAATCCAATGTTCTACCTCTACTGGGTTTGACGGTGATAAAGGAAAATACTTCTGCTACTTCGGTATCCATAAACTTGTGACGGGAAAGACCCAGGATGGAGTACAAAGTTTACAAGAAGCTATTGATTTTATGAATAACACTCCTGAGCACAAAGTTCTAAAGCTCATTGCTTTTCAGATTCTTGCTGTTTTTTATCAAAGCCAAAGTGATCACCAAACTTCCTCCATGTTCTATGGCATAGCGCTGCAAGAAGTTAAGGAGGTGGGAGACACTGATTTATTAATGATTCCTGACGTCAATGAAAAAAGACTATATGCGCACGAGCAAAGGAAAAGTCCACTCAAAGAAAAAGCAAACCACCCAATTAAAATTGAAGTCATGACTCTTGTTGAATTAGTAATAGGAGACATATCCACCCGCGACATCAATGAATTTTTCAGTACTTTGATGCTTAAAGTTCTCGAAGACACTAAATCAGCAACTGGAATGACGAAGCTTGGTTGGTTCAAATTTCATGAATACTCCCTCGGTATGCTGGTGTTTCTAAATAAGAATGAGGAAGGTGTATCAGTTGCCAAGGAAAGAATCACCTATCATCAGGAGTCACTACAAAAGATCAGAGAAAGCAATAACCCAATTCTTAAACTACACAAAGACGCACTGGCAAAATGTTATTCACAACTTGCACACCATCAAGAGTGTCTAAATAACTCAGCAGAGGCCGTCAATTCAGCACAACATGCACTTACAATCATGTTACAGTTGTTCGGCGAGGGACATGCAAAAACCGCAAACAGCCACCATCAGCTGGGATTTAAACAATATAAACTTGGAGACTACTCCTCAGCTGCTGAGTCACACAAGCGTGCACTTGGCATCAGAATAAGGTTACTTGGGGAGGAACATAAAGACACCGCCGACAGCTACTCTCGGCTGGGGTTTACCCAACACAACCTGGGAGACTACTCCCCAGCTGCTGAGTCACACAAGCGTGCACTCAGCATCAGAATAAAGATACTTGGGGAGGAACATGTAGACACCGCCGACAGCTACTGTGGGTTGGGGGTTACACAAAATGCACTAGAGGATTACTCCTCAGCTGCTGAGTCACACAAGCGTGCACTTAGTATCAGAATGAAGCTATTTGGGGAGGAACATGCAGACACCGCCGACAGCTACTATGGGTTAGGGGTTGCTCAACACAACCTGGGAGACTACTCCTCAGCTGCTGAGTCACACAAGCGTGCACTTAGCATCAGAATAAAGCTACTTGGGGAGGAACATG